TATTTGGCTATCAATGCAAAATAGGCTGCCTATTTAATGCCAAGCTAAACCGAGACACCAATCTTGTTGAAGTGATTTTGAAGTTGATTAGCTTCCCACATCGCCATGTGAAATAATGAGATTGATTATTAAATAATATGCCCTGGCAAATATTCTTATTTTCCAGTGTAAGCTACAACATTGTCCCAATTTCATATGCTGCTTCAATGTATTCACTCCCATATCAGCTAAAAATAGAAGGTCATCACATTTTGGTCACAGAGAAAAAGCACATATCTCGCAGCTGTTTTTACCAATAGCCCAGAATCAATAGTTATTACTTCTAAAAAAAAATACATTTTGGAGGGGATTTTAATAAGGCTACAATGTGGTTTGGTTTATTGTTTGAACAGTTGATGAGATTATATTGACTCATCAATGCAAAGTAGGTTACTTGGATGCATAGCCTATAGATTAGATCAATAAACCAAGCGAGCTGCATTGCCTAGACAACACTGCTCCCATGACTACGAAAGGAATGATACAGCGCATTACAATTTTGATGTGGCACGGGAGTATGTAGAATGTCGGAGTGCACTACAAGGAGCCGCCCCTTTTGTGATGAAAAACGACATTGCGACACTGCGCTATGCGCCGTAGGGTCCGTCTCCTTAAATAGCCCTTTACAAACAGTCCATACTGCAGTTTGTTGATGATCCATTGACCCACCACCACCCGTCCTCCCGATCGAGTCACCCTCCAGGCTTCATGTACAATAGAGGGCCAGCTCCTCTTGTGTTATTTCCCAGTTTGACCAATTTCCCTAAAACAAATATGTAGTTCTGCTATTTGTTACATAGTTGTTTCAATCATTTGGTCTGATGGCAAAACATTTCCAAATTCCATGGTTTTTAAGATGAGCTCCAACCAATGTAATGGTCCATTGTTGGTTGATATACTCATTTTCAATCAGCATTTGAACACTTGTCTTAACATTCCTTAATCAGCCTGCGAACATTCTATTACATGGACTCCCATACAACAATACATATAAAGGTATCAATAACATAGAAAGCTACTATTTTGGAGAGGTTATCATATATCAATTTGATCAGGCGCTTGTGGGGAAACATTTTAGACAATGAAACCTTTGTCACCCCGAGGTGGACAAATGTATCCGCTGGCCCATCGACTATTGACAGATCATTATAGAGTAACCTTTCAAAACAAAACCTATTCAGGGTTGGAGTCTTAAACATCTGAAAACAGGCCGCTGTTCTAATGCTAATGTCCCAGAATCATGAACTTCAGCTTTGAATGCCAGTTTCCCATAAATGCATGGGGCTTCTAAGTAGCATACACAGAGGTTGTGTTAGCTTTAAATAAGGAACAGGTCTCTCTTTGACACACACACACAAACTCACACACTCTTTCTCTCTCTCTCTCTCTACCTCAATCTTACATTTTCTCTCTCTAAAATACACTTTTCTCTCAAACCCTTTCTGTCCATTAATCCTGTCATTCTCTTTCCCTCTTACCCCTCCCCCCTCCCCACTCTGTTGTCATCTGCCTCTTCCCACAGACTGTCCCCAAATGGAGTCTGCCCCAATGTTCCCTCAGCCCTATGTTCCCTCAGCTCTATGTTCCCTCAGCCCTATGTTCCCTCAGCTCTATGTTCCCTCAGCTCTATGTTCCCTCAGCCCTATGTTCCCTCAGCTCTATGTTCCCTCAGCTCTATGTTCCCTCAGCCCTATGTTCCATCAGCCCTATGTTCCCTCAGCCCTATGTTCCCTCAGCTCTATGTTCCCTCAGCCCTATGTTCCCTCAGCTCTATGTTCCCTCAGCCCTATGTTCCCTCAGCTCTATGTTCCCTCAGCCCTATGTTCCCTCAGCTCTATGTTCCCTCAGCCCTATATTCCCTCAGCCCTATGTTCCCTCAGCTCTATGTTCCCTCAGCCCTATGTTCCCTCAGCCCTATGTTCCCTCAGCCCTATGTTCCCTCAGCTCTATGTTCCCTCAGCCCTATGTTCCCTCAGCTCTATGTTCCCTCAGTTCTATCTTCTAAACCAGTGGTTGGCAACCCAAATGAGAGGAAGAGCCATTTTACAAATTCTCTCAATATCTAGTACTTTTGGAGAAACATGGAATGTACCCCTGTTTAGGAGTTGGGGAAATGGAAAAGAGGGACATTAAAGACAAAAACTTGATGTTATGTGAAAACAGGGAACATAGGTCTGAGGAAACAAAGAACTGAGAGAACATAGGGCTGTGGGAACATAGAATTGAGGGAACATAGGGCTGTGTAAACTGAGGGAACAAAGGGCTGAGTGAACATAGGGCCCTGCCTCCACCCTGCCTCCCAAAGTCCAAAAATATATGTAGCAACTGCAGAAATCCCCTATAACAGCTTTTCATATCACTCTGTATTTAGCTTCAAAGCTTCAGGATTTCGTTCTATTCAACCAATAAGTGACAAAGTAAGTCATGCAGAGAGAAAGAAAATGATCTCCATTCATTCATTGTCCCTTTCCTTTTCCATTTACTGGTTGGGTTATTTTTGACCCATTTCTTTATTGCAAGTACTGTAAACTTCTGACTACCTACACGAGGTAGGTGCTACAGTGACCCATGGTTCGGCTACTGGTTGGGTTGTTTTTTAACCCATTTGTATTTAGTGAGTATGTAAACTTCCAACAGGGATTCTTTCTTTATGGGGTCTTGTTGTCAAAATGACCTAGCTGTACAGGTGAAGATTGCCACAGATCCCCCTTCTCCTCCCCTCCCATCCTCAGCCCCCTCTCCGCTCACCTGCCTCATTCCTCCTGTGCACCTCCCCTTGGCCAGGTAAACCATATAAATATTCAAACCTGAGTTACCTATCCAGGGAGCTCTGGACTGCTGTGTGTGTGTGAGTGTGAGTGTGCGACAGAGAGAGAGAGAGAGAGAGAGAGAGAGAGAGAGGTGGAGTTTCTCAGGGTGAGGAGGAAATATATTATCTTTACAAAACACTGGGATTGAGACAATGGTGCAATGATGGGGCTTCGAGTTATTCTGGATTACACTTTTGATTATCAGGATTTGGATTGATTTATTTTGTGTTCTTTTAACTTAGATTTTTTCAATCTCTTTAGTGCAATTATGTGATAAATATGTGGTAAGTATGTGGTAAATCTTCACAACTTTTAGTACAAAACTCAAAATAGATAATCTAAAAAGCAGTTGTTTCTAAACGCTAAGCACATTTTCAATTGACTAAGTACAACACACAAAGTCATACAGTCACTTTTTCACCAAACGTAATCCGTGTTTCATCTAGAAATACATGTTTCTCCTTGCAACACACATTAATTTAAAGGAATTGCCTTTCACAATGCAATGCTCACATTACTTTTGATATGATTCTCTTCTCTTTTACTAAAATACATTTCACTATTACTTAATGCCATGCTCTTATAAACTGAGCCACACAGGACCACTACAATACATTAGTACAATACTGTAAAATACAATAAAATAAAGGCCTCCTGTAGCTCAGTTGGTAGAGCATGGCACTTGCAATGCCAGGGTTGTGGGTTCGATTCCCACGGGGGGCCAGTATGAAAAATGTATGCACTCACTAACTGTAAGTCGCTCTGGATAAGAGCGTCTGCTAAATGACTAAAATGTAAATGATTACAATACAGATGGAAGATGTATAACTGCCATCCTCATGAGCGTGTCACCTTCTTTCAGGCCATGGATGAGGCATGCAATGACATCAAACCAGACCAATTTCAGGCTTGGATTGACCATGCCAAAAGGTTTATCTCCAGGTGCATGAACATTGAGGACATTTACTGCGATGTCGATGAGAACCTATGGCCAAATGCTCAAGACAGGCTTGGCGCAAAGTAGTTCCTGCTAAACAGTATGTTTCTTTCATGTGTTTATTTTGATTACAGTACACCTAATGTTGTAATTATATCTGAACAGTACATTTAAATCAAGTTAAATCAAAGTTTATTGGTCACATACACAGATTTGCAGATCTTATCGCAGATGCAGCAAAATGCTTGTGTTTCTAGCTCAATCAGTGCAGTAATACCTAGTAATACAAAACAATACACACATAATCCAAAAAGTAAAAAAGAGTCCAATTAACAACGCAAATAGCACTGTAACAGTAATACAAATGCAGTCTATACGTATCTACACCAAATGAATTTACACAAGATATACTAGGAATGATATGTACAGAATACAGTATATAAATACACATTACAAAACCCCATAGCAAAATGGATGGAATTGTAGGAACTTAGCTTCCGGAATATTAGAGTCTGGAATATAAATAATATGTATGTATGTGAATGATGTGTATGGACAGTATGTGAATAGAAAAGGTGTTTATGGCAGTAGTTATATAGCATGGTTCCCCAAAACTTTTTTGGTTACTACATGATTCCATATGTGTTATTTCATAGTTTTGATGTCTTCACTATTATTCTACAATGTAGAAAATAGTAAAAATAAAGAAAAACCCTGGAATGAGTAGGTGTGTCCAAACTTTTGACTGGTACTGTAAATCAATGTGATACAGTATCAAGAAAGTTCAAAGTCATGGATGGGATCATGGATCAGGGTTGTTGCGCAGCTTGCATTTCAGATAGTCAGAGGAGGAAATATTGATGGTCTTGAGAAAGAGGGAGCATCTCAGTCAATGCCAGGGAGTCAGAGACAGACAGGTCCGTAGTCTCGGCTGGCATTTCACCGTCCCCAACGTCGTCTCTGTGCTTTGGGCTTCGTGGATAGCTTGCTATTATTCCTCCAGAACAACCATTTGTGCAGTACTCACTTGTGGATGCCACTGCTGCTGCTGGCGCACAGGCTCACCACACATTTGGTAACAGTCAGAGAAGTCAGCAATCTTCACTACTGCAATGTAACAATGTAATAAACATGTCCTCTCTTTTCTTTTTCTCCAAATGTACTACACACACTCTCTCTCTCTCTCTTTCTATGGCCTACAATTCATCCTTCAGACATATGAGCACAGAAAGATTGTTGAGTTCACCTACCACACAGCGTTCTTCGTCATTATCGTGATTGTACAGTGGGTCGATCTGATCATCTGTAAGACCAGGAAGAACTCCATTGTTCAGCAGGGACTATTGAAGTGAGTACACACATCAATCTTTGTTGTCTTGGTCAAGGTCTGGGTCCTAAGAGTTATTTTCTTAGACTTGATCTTCACTGCTCTAGTCTTGACTTCACCTCTGGTACACATCACCATGTTCATACAGTCTTGCAACTCACTTTGAAATCAATATCCACCCTGTTAGTTTTAAATCCATGAAAATGATTTTGTTTCTCCTACCACATCAGGATCCATGTTTTCGTCTTCGGATTGTTTGCGGAAACCACCCTGGCTCTCTTCCTGTCCTACTGCCCTGGAATGGATGTCGTCCTCAGAATGTACCCACTCAAGTGAGTAGACACTACAGATTAAATATATCAGCTTGGAACAAAGGTCACCCCTGTTTTAAAAGATGAGTGGTAAAATTGATGGATATTACAAAGGGCAGAGTCTACTGTGGTCTCACAGGATCAGTTGGAGTTCACTAGCTAGATGAAGTGTAATGGGGTTTACTGCCCAACCAACGCCAAATGACATTTGGGGCCCTGTAAGCATATTGGCTCGCTGTTTTACGCTCAATTTAATCACTTTTTTCTTTCCATTCTCTCTTTCCATTTGTCTTTCCTTCTCTTATTCATAAGGCCTTGCTGGTGGTTCTGTGCCTTACCCTATCTCTGCTCAGCTTCCTCTATGATGAAATACATCCTGCGACAAAACTCAGGACGTAAATGCTCAGGGATTATGGACGAAAACAAGCTGTTAAGTTAACGCTGACAATTTTACATCAAAGTTAATTATTGTGTAATAACATGACAATGACATGTAGGATTGGGAGTGCAGAATTATATAATTTGGAGGTTTGCAGTGTGGCAAGATTAAATCGAACTAACATTTTTCTTCTCTATGAATTGTCTCTTCTTTAAGGTTGGGTGGACAAGGAGTATGAAGGTAAATTAATGTCATAAGTGTACAAGCATGTAAAGTATGATTTGCACATGTAAAGTATGATTTGCACATGTAAAATATGAGTTGAGACTGTATAATCAGTTTTGTAGTTGCAAAAAATATTTGCAAACATGTAACTTCTTTTGAGAATAAAAGCAACAACACTAGCAAGCAGGTAATGTGATGTGTGAACAAATACAATAAGATTTTGAGACTGGTGAATCTTCTTCTGTGAATCAAAACAACATTTGCCTATGTTGAATCTGTTTTGGCAATTAATTTAGCGACTAACCTGTGCCAAAAGTTTTGTAGTTGTAAAAAAAAAAAATCTGTGCTTGTAAGAGCTGCTCTGCAAGCAACCAGCAGAGAAAAACACGAGAGCTCTGCTGGGCGGGCTTTTTCTTCTGACCAATCAGGTGAGGTGTTATCATTCTGGAACATACTTTCAAACAGGGGGCCATCTGTATCTGTGTTCCATTCCATATGATGTTTTAATATATTTGTACTGTGTTGCTATCTGTCTCAAGTTGTACAAATCATCAGCATGAAGAATACTGAATTCTGTTGAATTTTCATGTGGACTGAATTTTCATTCAAGTAATGTTGTGCCTGTCTTTTAGATCTGCCAAACACAACTGTGCCTCTGCTAGCCACACAACCACTGCCTCAGAGTGGTTGGGTAAGCTCCTTCCTAGATGGCCCTGTCCAGGGGTGACATTGAACAGGGCCACAATGTCTCCCAACCCCCCAGTCTCAGTCCCCAGTAATTATTCTGCAATAGCTTATGTGTCAGGGGGGCTAGGATCAGCTTATCTGATCTGGACCCAGTGCAGATCTAGGATCAGATTGGCCTTTTAGATCATAATGAATCAAATTATATGGACTGGTGGGACCTGACCATAGATCAGCACTCCTACTCTTGTATGGTTTCTGAATATGGGCCCTTGTGTAATGTGTGATATTAGGCATGCCCCCACTAATCCCCCCCCCCCCCCCCCCCCCCCCCCCCCCCCCCCCCCCCTCTTTCTCTCTGTGTATTCCCTCCTGGAGGACCTGAGCCCCTGGTCATGCTGCCGTTTCGACTGCAGCTGTGGACCCTTGGCCAGATTTCACCGTGCATGCTACCTTGTCCTGGACCCCTGCTAATCAAGCTCAGCCAGGTGGTCACTGTGCTTCTGCCTCTGCATTGCTTTCTCTTTGGGGTTTTAGGCTGAGTATCTGTAAAGTACTTTGTGACTGTTGATCAGGGCTGTCCTGGTTAATGTGAGACAATAGTCTCGCATTTGTAAAAAACAAACATAAAGAAAAAAAACTATTTGCAATTTCATTCAATGAACACTGTGATGATGCACTGAGCTGCATTGAGGTCTTGATTGCGATCATGTAATTTGGAATAAAGATCACTTCAACACTAAGGCAAAAATTGTATTTCCGCCTAAATAGACTTACCCAAATGTAATTATTTTTCATTAGACGTAAACAATAACTGGTACTGTTGCATAGTTTTAGTAAGGTCTGGAACTCACTTTCTGGATTTTTTAAAAATAAATTGCTGAGGTGTACTCGTGAGGACACAAGCTCAAGTACTTTACATAGTACAAATATTGTGAAAATATGAAAAATAATGTATGGTTTATTTTCTTATTCAAAGAAAAGTGGGGCAATAGGGCTTGAAATGACTGAAATGCTTTCTAAATATAGTAACAATCAAATTATAAATGACTTACTATAAGATTTAAGATCTCTTATAACTGCAAAATAAATATGATCATACTTAGTGACAGTGCGATATTGGCACTATTTTATATAACTGCCGACAGAGACTGTTCTCCTAAACGTCCACTGAGTGCCGCAGAGACACCATTCAAATATGCACAGACTTCTTACAACTTCGTCCACCTGTGACCAAGAGAAAGTGGTCTTAGTTCAGTTTATGAAATTATTTAGTGTTATTTCATGTTGAGAGCTCTAAATCTGGCTGAGAATATCACAGTGAGATGAAACTACCATTGTTGCATCCGCTAGACTTTGTGTACACAACTAGCACTTAAATGTCAGTCGGCACTTAAAATGTCAGTCGGCACCAGCCTAAATAGGGGATTTATTTTATTTTATTTTTGCAGATAGATTGTAGTTTCCATCAATGTAATTGTATGGATCATTTCCAATCCCCCATATACATTTGTTGTATATATATATTTTTTATATATTTTCCTTTATTATTTTCCCCTAACCCTACCACCCCTCCCCTAATTGGAGTAAACTAATGGACAACAACACTTAGGCTTCTACTTCCATCTTATACGGACACAGTGTATTTTACATTAGTTATCTTGTTGATTTTAGTCCCACCCTTCAGTTCCACTCAACCCCTCCCATCTACCTCTGAGCACCATCCTTTTTATTTCTATGAGTTATGCATTTTGCTAGAATTTTTCCATCACAACACTGAACTGTAAGGGGCCTCCAATTTTTTAGATGTACCACTTGGGTCCTGTTTCAGTAATAATAAAATCAGACCTTCTTGTTGAGTATCTGATAATCTACAATTTTTATAGGAGTGTTAACACATGATAATAACAGTCCTCTGAGTACATAAAGAAAGTTTTGGTATACCTCAACTGGTATGCCATCCAGCCCTGGAGTTTTCCTGGGCTTTAATTGCATCAAGAAGTTCCTCCTCTGTAATTTGGCCTTCACATGACTCTTTCTGTACAGCTCTTAATTTTACATTATTAATAGAAAATAAATCCATACAATTAACTTCAGTTAGTGGATATGGAGGAGACTGAAATGAAAACATGTGCTTAAAGTACTTTGCTTCCTCTTTCAAAATATTGTTTGGTGAATCATAGGTGACTCCATCATCTGTAACAAGTTTCAGTCAATTCTTTTTGGTAGCATTTATATGTTGAAGATTAAACAAGAATTTGGTTCATTTTTCCACATATTTCATCCAGTTCGCTTCTTAATAATATATTACACTTGATCTTTCTTGAATAAGTTCCTCCATCTCGTTTTGTTTTTCATCTAACTTATTATGTGCCTCTATGGTACAGTTTTTATTGCTATCTTTCTCTACTGTTAGTCCTTCTATTTCCTTTCTTAATATGAACTATTTTGACCTAAATTGATTTTGTTTTAAAGATGACTATTGAATTGCATGGCCTCTAAAGGCACATTTAAAAGTGTATCGTACAATAAGGGGATCTCCTGTACCTATGTTATGTCGGAAAATGTCTGTTATAAATGATTCTGTCCTAGTTAAAAACAAGTTATCATCCAATAGGCTTTGATTACATCTCCAATATCCTTGCCCATATGGAAACTGCTTAAGAGTAATGTCTATGTCAATTATTTGATGGTCTGTCCCATATCAACACATATTAAAAATTTTGTGCCAGCGAGAATGACATAAGAAATTATTCAAGAAGACTAGCTTGATTGAGCCTCCACTATGTAAATCTCACAAGGTCAGGATATTTGTCACGCCCTGGCTCTGGGGACTCTTATATGTTGAGCCAGGGTGTGGATTTTCTATGTTTTGTTTTCTATGTTTTTGTTTCTAGATCGTGTTGATCTATGTTGGCCAGGGTGGTTCCCAATCAGAGACAGCTGTAGCTCGTTGTCTCTGATTGGGAACCATACTTAGGCAGCCTGTTTTGCACTAGTCTTTGTGGGATCTTGTTCCGTAAGGTTTGTTTTGGTGTTAACCTAGGACTTCACATATCGTTTGGTTTGTTGTTTTGATCGTGTGTTGAGTACGTTAAATAAAGTATGTACGCTTATCACGCTGCGCCTTGGTCCGTGTCTTCAGTCGACGATCGTGACAGAAGATCCCACCATAAGAGGACCAAGCAGCATGCCCAGGAGGAGAAGATGGCGATGTCGCAGGTGGGCAAATGGTGGTCTTGGGAGGAGAACTTCGCGGGCAGAGGGCCATGGGCAAAGGTAGATGCCCAGGCAGGAGAGGAGAAACGGCGCCAACCGCGCCGACGACGGACACGCGAGAGGCAACCCCAAGAACATTTTTTGGGGAGCACACGGCGTGGATGACGGGGCAGCAGGAGGCAGCTACAGGGCGAATCTGCGGACTAGGAGAGGAGGCCACCAGGTTACGGAGGCTATTGGTCATGAGGGAGAGGGAGAGTGTAGAGGGACGGCGAGAGGAACTGGTTAGGCAGCAGAGGGAGCGGAGGTTTAGAAGGAAACCCAGTCCCGCTCCTCGCACCAAGCAAGTGGTGTGTGTCACCAGTCCGGTCCGGCCCGTTCCTGATTCCCGCACAAGGCCAGTGGTGTGTGTTCCCAGTACGGTCCGGCCCGTTCCTGCTCCCCGCACTAAGCCTGTGGTGCGCGTCCCCAGCCCGGTCCGGCCTGTTCCTGCCCCTCGCACCAAGCCTGTGGTGCGCGTCGCCAGCCCGGTCCGGCCCGTTCCTGCTCCCCGCACCAAGCCAGTGGTGCGCGTCGCCAGCCCGGTCCGGCCTGTTCCTGCCCCTCGCACCAAACCAGTGGTGCACGTCGCCAGCCTGGTCCGACCTGTTCCTGTCCCTCGCACCAAGCCTGTGGTGCGCGTCGCCAGCCCGGTCCAGCCTGTTCCTGTCCCTCGCACCAAGCCTGTGGTGCGCGCGGCCAGCCTGGTCCGGCCTGTTCCTTGTCCCTCGCACCAAGCCTGTGGTGCGCGTTGCCAGCCCGGTCCGGCCCGTTCCTGCTCCCCGCACCAAGCCTGTGGTGCGCGTCGCCAGCCCGGTCCGGCCTGTTCCTGCTCCCCGCACCAAGCCAGTGGTGCGCGTCGTCAGCCCGGTCCGGCCCATTCCTGCTCCCCGCACCAAGCCAGTGGTGCGCGTCGTCAGCCCTGTCCGGCCCGTCCCTGCTCCCCGCACCAAGCCAGTGGTGCGCGTCGTCAGCCCGGTCCGGCCCGTTCCTGCTCCCCGCACCAAGCCAGTGGTGCGCGTCGTCAGCCCGTACCGGCCCGTTCCTTCTCCCCGCACCAAGCCAGTGGTGCGCGTCGTCAGCCCGGTCCGGCCCGTTCCTGCTCCCCGCACCAAGCCAGTGGTGTGTGTGTCCAGTCCGGCACGGCCCGTGCCTGTTCCACCGGTGCCTGGTCCAGCACCGGTCAGCTGCTCCACTCCGGAGCCAGAGCAATCCGCTCCACCGGTGTCCAGTCCAGCTCCGGCCAGCGGGGCCAGACCAGATCAGGGGCGCAACGGGGGGGTGGAGAGAGAGTGGTGGTCACGCCCGGAGCCGGATCCGCCTCCGAGGCGGAATGCCCACCCGGCCCCTACCCTCTTGTGTTTGTGTGGCGCAGTCGCAGTCCGCGCCTTTGGGGGTGGGGGGGGGGGGGGGGGTACTGTCACGCCCTGGCTCTGGGGACTCTGATATGTTGAGCCAGGGTGTGGATTTTCTATGTTTTGTTTTCTATGTTTTTGTTTCTAGATCGTGTTGATCTATGTTGGCCAGGGTGGTTCCCAATCAGAGACAGCTGTAGCTCGTTGTCTCTGATTGGGGACCATACTTAGGCAGCCTGTTTTGCACTAGTCTTTGTGGGATCTTGTTCCGTAAGGTTTGTTTTGGTGTTAACCTAGGACTTGACGTATCGTTTGGTTTGTTGTTTTGATCGTGTGTTGAGTATGTTAAATAAAGTATGTACGCTTATCACGCTGCGCCTTGGTCCGTGTCTTCAGTCGACGATCGTGACAATATTTAAGCCTCCATAGATCCACTAGTCCCAATATATCCATGATATTCATGATTTCCTTAAGTGCATGAGGGTGATAGTTTGTAGTGTGATTTCTTTTACAGTCCATTGAGGTATTCAAAACCTTATTATAATCTCCCACCATAATAATAGAGTATTGTGTTGCTTGTAGGCTTGATCAATTATTACAGTATATATTTTTTCAAATATGCATGGATAATCATTATTTGGACCATATAGATTAATGAGACAAATCTATTTATGGTCCAATAACAAATTTAAAATAAGCCGTCTACCTTCCGGATCTGTTTGAACAATTTGCACATTGGGATCAAAATTATTGTTAGTTAATATCATCACCCCTTTTGAGTTTCTTTGCCCATGGGATAAGTGTATCCCCCCCCCCCCCCCCCCCCCTTGGTGACTCGGAGCAGTTGGTTATCAATATACAGTTTATAGACTGCGAGAGCTACACGTTTCCTTTTTAATCTATTCACCTTGAAGAGTGGGTACAGAACTTTGCGCCATTCTGCAATTTCCTTCGGGAACTGATCATTCATGCCCATTTTCATGCCAGCGAGTCTTTTGCCCAGGCTTTTAGCCATTATTTTATCTTTAAAGAATGCATATTTGGCAACGATTGGGTGCTCATATCTCTGTCCTCTGCCCGAAATGGTGTACATGTTCGAGTTTTATTTTGTTGACAGTATCGCCTAGGATCTCTAGCTCTTTAAGAAATAATTATTTCACAACACTTTCAAGATCTTCACCCTCATTATCTTTGATACCAGTAAGTACCATAGATTTAGTCTGTATTTCAAGTAAGGCTTCTCTCAGAAATATGTTCTCTTTTAAATGTTTTTTAACGTCCATTTCAATTGTATTGACTGAACCTTTTAGCTTGTTTGTTTCTTTCTCCATTGTAGCAGCTTTTTCGTCACTCATCTCGAGGCTTGCCTTCAACCCCTTTATATCTTTACTGACTATTTCAAGTATGCCCAGTTTATCATTTATCGACTTTAGCAAGTCAGTTTCTACACTTACCATTCCCGGTGGTGAAAAGCATAAATTGTATGTGTCCGTTGAGGAGTCTCGTTTTCTTTTGGGAATTGGTTCTCCATGCTTACTCTCCGAAATGTTTGGGTGTTGATTGTATTGATGATATTGGTCGATACATTTCTCTAGCCTTATAATGTGTTTTGTGTTGTTATCCAGATGGAAAGTTATTGCCCATGAGTATTTGGAGTGAAGTACTAATATTTCATAAAACGTACAGATATTTAATATTATGTTTTTATCTTGAGGCATTCTGCACCACTATCTTCAGTCCGCCATTTCCTGTTTGCGTGCATGCGCGAGTGTGAAAGCCTGTGAAAGCTGTTGCACAGCGCAAAGAGGGATCATAACATCTAAGAGGTTTGAACCCCTTGAGTTTTTTGGATTGCACATGCTGTTATTTTGAACACTGTTATCCTTATTGAACATCTAAAATAACATTCTAAAACTCTAAAACTCCATATGGTTTAAGTTGTTTTCCCATATGGTTTTAGAAAACACAACGCCTGTGTGAAATAGAGACTCTCCATTTGGGTTGATCTGTGACCCACTAGCACCTCCCCCTGTAAGAGGGGAACAAGGCAACCTCAGAGTTACACACAAGGATACTGTCACGACTTCCTCCGAGGCTGCCTCCTCTCCTTGTTCGGGCAGGCTTCAGCGTTCGTCGTCACCGGCCTTCTAGCCACTGCCGCTCCTCATCTCATCATTCCATTTGTTTTGTCTTGATTATTACACACACCTGGTTCATATCCCCTCATCAGTACCTGTATAAGTGTTCCCTCTGCCCCCTTGTCTTTGTGTGTGATTGTTTATTGTGGAGGAGAGAGAAGCTCGGTGGAGCTCAGTGTATTTTCTATCGCCGGGAATATTCCCTGTGTGCCTTGTATTTTTCCAGTGCGCCTGTTTTGCGCACTGTAGTGTTTTCACACGTTACTGCATAACTCTGTGGTTCAGAATAAGTCCTGTTATGCTGTGATTTACCCTGCTCCTGACTCCTTCAGAATCACCTCATGACAGATACTTTATTGACACACACAAGAATGGAATAGACATGGAAAGGTAGTGGAAGGCAGTGGTTCTGTAAATGACTGAAAACAGGGGTAATTGATATGTACAGTACATACAATAGGACCAAAGCAATAATAACTTACTACCTGCACATACAGTATTACAACACACTGTAAAAAATTACTCTTTGGATCAACCTAAAATTGCGTCAACTGGTTACAAGTAAATTAGTTAGGTTTTCTCAATAGAAAAAAACTACATTTGTTGAAACCAAGTATATGATTCAATGTCAACTGTTATATTTTATTATTAACAAACCTATATTTCAAGTTGCAACCTATTTCTTTCAACACTCAACTTACTTTTCCCCTTTGGTTAAACCTAATAAATAATATAAACAAACTAATATACATGTAACTGCCAAAATAAAGGAAACACCACCATAAAGTGTCTTAATAGGGCGTTGGGCCACCACGAGCTACCAGAACAGCTTCAATGCTTCTTGGCATAGATTCTACAAGTGTCTGGAACTCTATTGGAGGGATGCGACACCAGTTTTGTTGATGGTGGTGGAAAATGCTGTCTCAGGCGCCGTTCCAGAATCTCCCGTAAGTGTTCAATTGGGTTGAGATCTGGTGACTGACACACACACACACCCTTTAAACCCCCTATGCTCCTTTGAGACCCCTCTTTCCAAAATAATGGGCAACTGGGCATTTTTACACATAACGCTAAGCATGATGGGATGTCATTACATTGCATTCAAGGCCAAACATTTGATGATAAAGCTGCAATGGGTAAATTGGTGAAAGACTCAGACAGGCAGGCTGGCAGGCAGGCAGGCAGGCTGGCAGGCAGGCAGACATATAAACTCACACAGACAGACATCTCCCTCCCTCCCTCCCACTACCTGATCGGTCGGCCGGTCGGTCGGTCGGTCGGCTGGTTGAGAGAATGCCAAGAGTGTGCAAAGCTGTCATCAAGGCAAAGGGTGGCTATTTGAAGAATCTAAAATATATTTTGATTTGTTTAACACGTTTTTGGTTACTACATGATTTCATATGAGTTATTTCATAGTTTTGATGTCTTCACTATTATTCTACAATGTAGAAAATAGTAAAAATTAAGAAAAACCCTGGAATGAGTAGGTGTGTCCAAACTTTTGACTGGTACTGTATATATCAAATACATTTCCATCCCTCCCCTAATTGGAGTAACTAATGGACAACAACTCTTAGGCTTCTACTTCCAGCTTATACATACTTTATACATTTTACGGACACTGTCTAGTTTACAATAGCTAATGGTGAGACTTTCACTAAATGCAAACATCATTCATGTAGATCTAAAATTAATGTGATCTAAAATGTATGTGAATAACTCTCAGACAAAGGAAATTGAGTGCATGAGGAATAATGGAGAAGAGTACTAGACAACCTCACATCCATCTCCTCAATGAAGTGATGTAGTAGATACACATTCATGTTGTTTGAGCATAGATGTATGACTAAATGTATTGTGAGCAGAGACCAGAGGACATTATTGCACTGTATTGAGAGTTGCATTGCAGCTTCGCTTGCTTGTTTGCTTGCTGAGAACTAATCTAAGTACTCACAATGAATAGGCAATTGGAATGCCCAGAGCTGAATGCAACAATATAGGCATCCAATTCTAAAGTTGTTCAAATTCTCTTTCTCGCTCGCTCTCTCAAGGCTGTGTTTCAGAGTACTGTGGTGCCCTTGAGGTAGAGTAAACACCGATCGACTTCACCCTCCTGTCCAGAGCCCAGACATGAAAGGCTTAGTTCTCCTGCAAGCCTGAAAATACAGAGAGCTCAGGCTTTGATCCTCCATGGGGTTGACCCCAGAGCGACCCCCTGTTTTCCCACTGCCAGCCCAATCAAAGCCCTCTGTTCTCCACCAGACCTTAGGATGGAGCAAAACGAGGGTGGATTCAAAGTTGGAGACAAAAGAATCAAAGAGAAATCAATGACTGTACCTGGAGAGTGTAAATAAGACATCAGACCAGGTGTCAGGTGTACACAGAAAGACTAACTCTACACTCAATAGACACGGAAGCAATCATTTTCACAAAAATTGATTTCATTTGAAATTTGGACAGATGATTTTGCTACTTACATTTTTCTTTATCTCTCTAACCTCTTAAATGTCAGCCAATTTAAAAATCACTCTCATACTTCTGTTCTGATATATGAAATTAACATTAATAGACTTAAATTTACTAAATTCACTCTTAGACTGTGTTACTAACGACAACAGCGCTCTGTGATGACATCAGCTCCAGGCTCTTGACAGGCAATGATGACGTCAGCTCCAGGCTCTTGACGCAGGGTGATGACGTCAGCTCCAGGCTCTTGACGCAGGGTGATGGCGTCAGCTCCAGGCTCTTGACACAGGGTGATGGCGTCAGCTGCAGGCTCTTGACTCAGGGTGATGGCGTCAGCTCCAGGCTCTTGATGTGGGATGATAATGTCAGCTCCAGGCTCTTGACGCAGGATGTGAGATTTAGGCATTTGGCCAGGAGTGTCTCCAACCAGCATTTCAACTTGTGGGACAGATCAGTCTTTATCTAGAGTACAATTATGAGACAAATTTGACCTTTTATTCATTATATTATCATACTTAAGACAACAGGGAAGTTTGGAAATGAAAGCTATTGCAATAATTTAATTCAGTTTTAATCAAGAAATGGAGTTCAGTTCATACACATCCATGTCCTAACCCTGTGTAGGAGATTCTGTAGTTTGCGGTTCACGGAGTGATGCCAAGGCTCAGAGCACCCATCTGATAGTAATACAACACAATAATACTGTCATTTAGCTGAAACCTTCTCCAAAGGCACATTACATTAAAACACATATTCAGCAGGTTTGGGGTTATTTCCACAAATGTAGTTCTAAATAAATTCCCTCTCCCTGTAAATTCAATTGTATTCAATTGAAATGCCAGGTCAGTCTTTAAATGCAGAGATAACTAAATTCCTCTCAATTCCAATGTTAGGAAAATTCCAAGAATTCAATTCCCAATTCAATATTATCCCCAATAATTCCACAAATTAAATTCCCTCAGGCTTTCAGGCTGTTCATGTCACTGTTCAGACAGCCTAGCTATATTGGAAACATAACATAGAAATACAAGTTGAAATGTTTTAAAACAAAACCTGCACTCAACTTTTGATACTAAGTGCTTTCATTCCATTAACTGGGAACAGTCCAAAAAGTATAATTCCAATTCAATTCCAATTCCATAACTTCAAGATTGTTTAAATTTGAATTGAATTCAACCTATTCAGCCCAGCATCATGCTCAAAACCTATTGAGCCATGGGACCCCTAGCTCACCCAGCATCTCTCCCACTGCAGTCTCCTGTGCAGCAGGTAAGCCAGCCTAGTCCTCCAGAAGTGGTCCTGGTCGGTCAGGTAGGGGTGGCAGAGGGTTCTGGTCAGGGAGAGGTAGGGGTGACCCAGGGGGCCGGTCAGGGTAAGGCTGAGGACAGGGACCCCTCACTGGGCTCTGTCCCCTGGTCTGTGGAGGACACGGTACGCCTGCCCCCACGCCATCAAAACACACACCTGTCCCAGAGTGCAGTGCAGCAGGAAGCAGGAAGTGTGTGGGGGGGGGGGGGGGGGGGGGGGTAAAGCATTGGGGAAGCAGAGCAAGAGAGAGGCAGGCCCTCTTTTCCTCCTCCTCCTATGTTCTTGTTCTTCCTCTTTCTACAGTGGCTGGTGATAGCCTTGGCAGTGGCATTGCTTTGGCATCGCCTTCAGATAATGAGATGTTATCCCAACTAGCTGGCGACCGGCTCGACACAGACAAAGACTGTAGGAGAGGAGGCTGTTAAGGAATGTCACTACCACCACAGACTGAGGATGCATGTCACTCTATAGCCACACAGATGACAAGAGAACTGAGAGACAGTGAGCATTAAAACTTTAAGAAAATAAGAGGGATTTGAGCTCTTGCTGTGTTGTGTGCCCTAGTTTTTTGGAGCTCAAAAGTTCCGGAATAGTCCTCTCTCTGTCTGGATGATTGTGATATCATCACAGAACAGGTTTGCCGCCTAGCAACAGCAGTCCCTCTCTCTCTCTCTCCAGCCCCCCAGCATTCTACTCTGTTCAACTGTTGGATGGATGGAAGACAAGGCTTTCACAAGGCTTTGAAGTCAGAGATTTTGACACTGTGAGGCTTTCTGAAGAGACTAAAAACGCCCCCCTAATGTATCTGGCCTACTGTAGGGTTTAATGAGGGGCAACTTTCACTTTTTCTCATTCTGAGTTCAATAGTTCATGAAGTTAGGATATCTCACTTCCCAGAACACCTCAGGCAGGCCACTGCAACACTTTCACTTTGAGTGGCCTTCTCTACTCGTTTTCGTTTGAGTAATTTAGGCTAGAGTTATGAGAAAGCACCATGGGGAGAAGGGACCATGAGCCTACAGTGTTTTTCTCCATTCCCCCTCAACACACATACACCACACTACTTATGTTGCACCCTCCATACCCCCTTGAACAGTCAGACAGCACTGAAACTATGCAGAGCACATTCTGTTCCATTACAGTGACTGTCAACATTGTCATCTTCTCCCTGGCAGACAGCTGTCCTAGAGAGTATATGGTGAGACTGCCCTCCCTGTCTCTGACAGGCTCCATCACATTGAGCATTTATATATTTATTATATATTTATAGGCCTGTCTCCTGGACAAATGACTGATGTATAATTCACGAGGTCTGCGTTTGACCCTTGACCCTGGTCGCTGAGAGGGAGGGGAGATTCAACAGGGCTTTACAATGACCCTTATTATAGACTCTGGGGGCTAGCCACTGGAACATGCAGTGACATGCTTAGGGGTGTGTGTGTGTGTGTGTGTGTGTGTGTGTGTGTGTGTGTGTGTGTGTGTGTGTGTGTGTGTGTGTGTGTGTGTGTGTGTGTGTGTGTGTGTGTGTGTGTGTGTGTGTGTGTATGTGTTTGTGTAATGCTAAACCAGCAGCAGGATGCCATTTCTCTGCCCTCTGACCCCCCGGTCGCTCTCCCTCACACACACACCACATTACTCCCAAGGTCTCTCCGCTATATGGCCCAAGCCATTAAATAGACATGTACTGTATGCATAAATGAGACCAGTTTATTGTATGACCGTTACTGACAGGTCATATGGTACAGGTTAAGATACATGGTGGATAATGGTAATGCTTAATAATGTTGTTTAATGTGTATAATGTGAAGAGACTTAGATTAATGGTTTAGGAGGAGGATGTCACTGTGTGGGTTTGGAGAGATTTAAGACAGCTTGGGGGAGGGCTAGGACGAGGTGATGGAGAAACTTCCATGGTGGCAGCCATTTTATCCTTGAGAAGATAATGGAGTTTGTTTAGCTAGGGTGAGGGTGAAAACATTTAGTAAAAGTACAGAGGGTTGTCATCAGGTTTGGGGTTAATTCCACAAATTCAATTCTAATTCAATTTCCTCTCCCTGTAAATTTCCATTTAATTCTATTCAAATTCCAGGTCATTCTTTGAATTCAGAGATAATTCCAATTTTAGGTCAATTCCAAGAATTCAAAATCCAATTCAATATTATACCAACAATTCCACAAATTCAAATTCAATCCCCTCAGACTTTCAGGCTGATCATGTCACTGTTCAGACAGCCTAGCTATACTGGAAATATAGAAATACAAGTGAAGTTGAAATGATTTAGAACAAATCCTGCTGTAAATGTTTTATACTAAGTGCACTAATAACTGGGAAATGTATAAATATTGAATTCTAATTCAATGCCGTTCCAAAGATTAAATGTTTTTACAATTGCAATTCAATTCCAATTCAAACCGTTGAAAGTCTAATTCCAATTCAATTCCAATTCCATAACTTGAAGACTGTTGAAATTTGAATTGAATTCAACGTAAATGTCTCCAATTCATGAGTGAATTCAAGAATTTAACTGCAATTTCAAATTAAATTGGACTTGACCCCAACTGTGGTTGTCATGAAATGTTCACAATGTAGGAAAGTTAACTATCTTTATTTTCCCACTACTCCTCACCCCCCCCCTCTCTCTCTCTCTGTCACCCATCCCACATCATCTGTATTGATAGGCATCCCCCCCCCCCCCCCCCCCGCCCCCCACCAACACAAAGAGGAAGTGAAGGTCCTCCTACGACCTTCTTCAAACACCCGTTCAGTCCCTCAGTTTTCCACTTAATGGCCCGCAGCCACATAAACAGAATGCATAATTACAAAGAACAAATGTTAAGCAATCATAGAAGGGTGTGACATCATTGTGAACGCAATGCAGCTCACTGGAGAAAAAAAGAGGCAAATTGAAACGGTGTGAAGATGTGAGATTTTCCCAACTCACGCTTTCTCCCATATACATTCACACAAACACGCAGACACACAGACTCACTATGTGCCTGTTATTGAAAGTAAGAAGGAGAAGAGAAAGCAAATGGAGATGCTTAATTGGTATTCAGTTTTGTGTGTGTGTGTGCATGCGTGCGTCTGTTGTCTAACTGTTGTGAGCCATGGGTTGAGAAAAAGAGATTGCGTCTTCAGATTAGAATAGATAAGGATGCTCTTTCTCTGCAATCACTCTCCCCAATCTAGCAGTTTTATACACTTTACCATGTTTACAATGGAGCACTATTAACATTAAGTGGCAGAGAAGTGTAGTCATCATCTCACATTCACACAGGGAAAGTGTTCAAGAATGCAGTTAGAAGTAATTAATAAATACACCAACACGCACATATAGTTGTAGGATCTTAGTTTGACCTGTATTGTCGCTGCAAAATAATCATGCAGCAACAGGATTTTAACGTTTAGTCCATAATGTTGCTTGATCAGTGGTTAAGGAGCGGTCAAAATGTACGCAATTGTTACCTGGAGAAAAATGGGGGAGGGTCATGCTTTTTCAATTTCAGTCAGGGGGAGGGTTTAGTATTTTTTAAATGTAGTCCAGGAGAGGGTCATGTACTCTAAAAATGTTTACATATTTTTGCTTTACTCATCTCATATGTATATACTGTATTCTATTCTACTGTATTTTAGTCTATGCCACTCTGACATTGCTCATCCTAATATTTCTAATATTTATATATTCCTTAATTCTGTTTTTTTACTTTTAGGTTGTGTGTATTGTGTGTATTGTTGTGAATTGTTAGATATACTGCACTGTTGGAGCTGGCACCCCTAACAAACAATAACCTAAAGTCAAAACAATTACAACTTGTGTATCAAGAATGGTCCACCACCCATACAAGATGGCGCCGATAGACATGGCAGCTTTGTTTCTAGCTCCTAAGCAACTTTGCAGTATTTTAGTTTTTTTTGTGTGTGTTTGTTTGTTCTTACATTATTAGCCCAGAACTTTTTTTGTCTTAATACATACAGCCGGAAATAACTTTTGGATAACAGAGCAGCCGTAACTTATTAGCATTCCGACCAGAAATACTACTTTCCTGAATTGGATCCTTTGTTCGTACCCCTCAAGGCAATTGAACTTATCCCAGAGGCTGCTCCAAGACGCCACCGGTGGAAAATAGTTATACGGAGTGGACTTCTAGTCCGATTCAGGAGGTGTGCACATCTTCCACCGCTTCTGAGTATATTACTTGCTAATGTTCAGTTCCTGGACAATAAAGTAGACGAGCTCAGGGCGAGGATCTCCTTCCAGAGAGACATCAGGGACTGTAACATACTCTGTTTCATGGAATCATGGCTCTCTCCGAATATACTGTCCCCGTCCATACAGCCAGCTGGGTTCTCAGTACATCGCGCAGACAGGAATAAAGAACTCTCCGGGAAGAAGAAAGGCGGAGATGTATGTTTCCTGATTAACTACTCATGGTGTGATTGTAGTAACGTACAGGAACTCAAGTCCTTTTGTTCACCCAACCTAGAATAACTCACAATCAAATGCAGACGGTATTACCTCCCAAGATAATTATCTTTGGCTATCGTCACAACCATGTATATTCCCCCTCAAGCCAATACGACAACGGCCCTCAAGGAACTACACTTGACTTTGTGCAAACTGGAAACCACATATCCTGAGGCCGAATGTATTGTAGCTAGGGATTCTAACAAAGCAAATCTGAGGAAAACGCTACCAAAGTACTATCAACACATTGCCTGTAGTACTCGCGCTTAAAAAAATCTCAACCATTGTTACTCTCCCTTCTGGGATGGCTACAAGGCCCTCCCCCACCCTCCCTTCGGCAAATCAAATCACAACTCCATTCTGCTCCTCCCTTCCTATAGGCAGAAACTCAAACAGGAAGTACCCGTGCTAAGGCCTATTCAACACTGGTCTGACCAATCGGAATCCATTTTTCAAGATTGTTTAGAATACGTGGACTGGGATATGTTCCGGGTAGCCTCTGAGAATAACATTGATGTGAACACTGACATGGTGACTGAGTTCATCAGGAAGTGTATAGGGGATGTTGTTCCCACTGTGACTATTAAAACCTACCCAAACCAAAAACCGTGTATAGATGGCAGCATTCGCTCAAAACTGAAAGCATGAACCACCGAGGTGACAGGGAATATGGTTGAATACAAACAGTGCAGTTATGCCCTCCGTAAGGCAATCAAAACAAGCAAAATATTGCAATTCAACGGCTCAGGCAGGAGACGTTTGTGGCAGGGACTCCAGACAATCACCGATTACAAAGAGAAAACCAGCCTCGCGCACACCGACGTCTTGCTCCCGGAGAAGCTAAACACCTTCTTCTCCCACTTTGAGGATAACACAGTGCCACTGACAAGGGCTTTTCCCGAGGTCTGTGGTCTCTTGTTCTCTGTGGCTGACGTGAG